TACATGGCCCTCAAATCAGCAATGTTCTTGAATTGGATGTTGTCACTGGTACATGAATTATTTATTTATTTTTTTTCTTCGAAACAGTGTAAAACTTACTTAGGACATCTTCAACCCAGTCGTTATTTTATGGCTCTGGGTTGAAAATTTGGCGTTTTGATGTTTTTATTTTTCTTTTCTTTAAATTTTTTTAAATGTTCGTATATTAGTTTTTTATTTATTTTAAATTTTAAATTTTTTTTATAAAGATAATATTAATTGTAAATATAAAAAATAGTTGAAAATAATATATAAAATAGAATATTTGAAGAATAGTTTTGTTGGATAAAAAATAGAGTTGTGGGTTGGAGTAAAAATATTGTAGCAAGTGCATTTTTGGAGTTAAAACTGCGTAAATATATTTCTTTAGTGGGTTGGAGATGGCTTTAGTGATTTATAAAAATTATGCAAAAATTTCATTGTTTAAAAATTGGATTAGACTCTTTTATAATTTCAGAAACTCTGTGTTCAACTTCATGTTCACACTATGAAAGGCGTATAGAAATTTCATAATTACGAAATCATCATTAACTAATGATAGAATGGAGGTTAGACGCAAAATTTCTGAAATTATAAGAAAATTTGATACTATTTTTGAAATAATGAAAATTTGGTAGAATTTTTATAAACTTTTTTGTTGTTTTGTCCTTTTTCTTTTTCTAAATCTTTATTTTGTTTTTATGGGATTGAGGAGATTATACTTCAACATCACATGATCAAACAGAAGGGTTTTGTCAAAAAGAAAAAATAGGTATCTTGTAGGTTTTCATGTTAGAAACTGTAGCTTTTTGATCTTTTTTGTTGTGACAAGAACCATCATACATATATATGACCTAAGCAACATTTAAATAATATATATAAATAATTTACAAATGGAACATGATGCACATGTTGCCTACACAAACAAATAAACAATAGGCCTTGGATACTGTTGAAATATTGTGCATGTGATTGACAGAATCTCCAAATTATAAGTAATAGGAGTTTTTTTTTTTTTTTTTTTTTTTATTTTATTTTATATACAATTCTGCCTGTGTTTTATTTTCATTTTTGTTATTACATTTGAAATTTACTTTCAATTCAAAAACACAATATTTAGTATTTTTTTTTTTTTTAAATAAACACTACCGAACTAATTTTCTTATCAATTTTTTTAGAGTGTGTTTGTTTTGTTAAATGATTTGATGAGATATTTTTTTACATGAATTAAGAATTGTGTATGTAATATAAAAATAATAAATATGTATAATATATTAATTTTTTTGATATAAAATACTACTCCCTCCGTCCCACATACCGTGTCTGCTACACCGTAGACACGGTATTTTAGGAGGAGTGTAATTAGTAGATAATTAAGAATGTATTAGTGAAAATAATTATCTAATAATATAAATAATTATAAATTAAGATTAAGATAACTAATTAGTTTAATTAAAATTAAAAAAATAAATTAAAAAATTCAAGATGAGATTTTAGTGTGTAATACTTTTTAAAAAAGGAATGTGACATGAATGTGGGACGGACAGAAACGGCAACGTGGACATGGTATGTGAGACGGAGAGAGTATTTCCTTAAACGAACTACTCAACACTCTAAAACCAAGATAAAAATACAAACAAGCAACCCTAATACTCATTTACTCTTAATGTCACAATTAATATATATATATACACTAATCCATTTTTTTTTTTGGCAATATTAGGAAAGGGGGAATTTGTGACCTGCTCCCAACACATGAATTCTGAGCTATTTTATGCAGTTCTTGGTGGTCTTGGCCAGTTTGGCATCATTACCAGAGCAAGAATTGCCCTCCACAAAGCACCAACAAGAGTAGCCTTAATATCATTATATTTATTTAATTGAATGTAGATTATAATCACTGTCTGAAAATTTACCCTTTTTGTCATATGAATTAATCCCACAGGCAAAATGGGTGAGATTAATTTACAGGGATTTCTTCGAATTCACTAGAGACCAAGAACATCTCATCTCCACAAGAAATAACAGCCCAGATTATGTCGAGGGTTCCTTAATCACTCACCAAAGCCAACCTAATAATTGGAGATCTAATTCTTTCTACTCTCCCTCTCAATACCAAAGTATCATTTTCCTCTTGGAAACAATAAATAATGGCCTTCTCTACTCTATCGAATTCGTCAAATACTATGATCATCATGCCGTGGAAAGCATCGACAATGTAAGTAGATTCGATGGTTAAGAGAAAAAAAAAAAAAAAAAAAGATAGTCTTGTACATGTTTTTAATTTAAATTATAGCTTTTGTTCTTAATTTGTGTTTCGTCGATTTTATTTTAGCTCTAATTTCTCACATGCTACCAATTTCGGAGAACTGATTAATTTTTTGCAAAGTAGAGGACCAAAACACAGCCGAGAGAATATACCTTGATAAAAAACGATAATTGTCGTCAGAAAGTTTTATTTTATTTTTCAGATGGAATATATGTTGCTTTCTTAGTACAATGTATATTTCCCACATGTTGTTATAATTTTATGTGTTGTATTTTCTTGTAGGAATTGGAGGAATTATTTAAGGACTTGAATTTCGTCCCGGGATTTATTTTCAAAAAGGATGTGTCACTCATTGATTTTCTTACAAGAGTTGAAATTAGGGAAGATGATGAGAACTCACAAGAAGAAGAAGAAGTTCATCCATGGCTGAATATATTCTTACCAAAATCGAGGATCGTAGATTTCAATGCCGGTGTTTTCGTCGACATAATTGCCAAGCATAACCTCACCTCCGGACCCATCCTTTTCTACCCTTTTAACAAGATAAAGTAATCTTCCTTTCACTACAACCTTATCCATTCTTTCATCGCACACACGTGATTTCTTTAGATTTAATTTGAATTTGATATTAAAATATTGTTGAATAAAATATTATTTAAGAGAAAATATATATCTTTTTAAAAAAGACTAAAGTCCATATTTGAAAATTTTTTGTCAAAGAACACAATTAATCATTTAAGTTTGTGCATAGAATCTATGCTTACATCATGAATAACAATAATTTTTTCCATCATATTAATATTACTCCTATTTTTAACACATGCTAATAATTTAACAATTATTCTTTCTCCATATGTATAGTAAATTATTTTTACATTCAGTACGTCAAATTTATTTTTATTTTTCTTTTTAATTTTGATAAAACAAAAAAAAATTAAATTAAATATTACTATTTATTTAACACAGCAAATGTAACTATTTTTATTATATTATCTTTTTCATTTCATTTGATTACTAACTAAATTTTTTAAAAAACCCCATCTACCTTTATAATTTTTATCGTTTTTTTTTAAAAAATATTTATTTATTTAAGTGTATAATTTTTATGAACGAAGAAAGTATGGGTTATTGAATCCATAGAGATGGCCATGGATGATCAAGATTCACTTTAAGAATCGAAATCGAAAGAATGTCATATATATCCGATTTCAAATTGGTAGTAATTAATTTGTTTCGAGTTTGGCACACAGATGGGATGATCGAACCTCAGCTGTCACACCTGACGACGAAGAACACGAAGAAGAAGACATATTTTACACCGTGGGATTGCTGCACTCATGTCGGCCCCATCTCAGGGAATATTTCGAAAGATTGAACAATGAGGTGATCGAATTCTGCGAAAATTCCGGCATTCAAATCAAACAATATCTTCCTCACCACAAATCTAAAGAGGATTGGATTAAGCATTATGGGTCCAAATGGAACAGATTTCTCGAAAGTAAGAATAATTTCGATCCGGCGAGGATATTATCTCGTGGCCAGGGAATTTTTTCATTCTCATTCTGATCATGTGTAAGACAAACGAATGTTAAGGTTGGAAGAGGTTGCATCGATCATATATATATATATATATACATATATAATATGATGTAATTTATTGAATAATCGGTTAATCGATTATTTATTTAATCGATAAAATTTAATTTATAATTGTCAAAACTGATTACTCGATGAGTTGAAATGCATGTGGGCTATATAATAGTTATTAACAAAGTTGTTAGACAGATGATTGCCGGAAAACTGCTGGCGCGCGCCAATCACCTGTACCAATTGATGTGGTCGTGAGTTGAGACTTGAGTTTAATGAATTATAGTTTTGATGAAGTCTATTATGCTCGGAAACCTATTCGAACAACAAAATATTTTATTGAACCGGAAGCTCAAAAAAATAGTCATATTGCCTACAAATGCATGCACGATCGCTAATGCATGCACTTTAGTGCATGAAAATTGAATTAAATGCAAATATTTTACATTCATGGAAAATATTGTACTCCTTCCGTTTATTTTTTAATGTTCAATTTGATATTTACACGTATTTTTAGGCAATTAGGGTTTTTTTTATAAAATAATAAATTTGCCCTTAATCTTGTGTATAGAAAATGAAAAATAAATAAAGTAAGGATAAAAGAATAAATTTGTGTATAAAATAGAAAGATGACCATATATGCATAATATTTGTAATAAAATGGTTAAATGTATTATATTTGTGCAAGTGACCTGAGCCGTCGGGGTTAAATGGTCACACGTCCATCTCCACACCACCAAGCCATCCCTTATGGGACTACTATCGGAGCGTATTTGTTTTTATGGAAAGATGTCCTATCTCGACTCGACGGGATTATCAAATTATTTCGATAAAAAAAATTATTGTGATTATCAAATCAATTTCAATAAAATCATAGTGATATCAAATTTTTTTATATATTGATTGTCGAATTTATCTAGATAAAATTGTTGTAATATCAAATTAATTTCGATAATTATATTTTTACAATATAATATTATTATTATATTTTTAACTATAGTAAAAATAAATATTTATAGATCAAAAAGTAGTGAGTGCCTGTAAAAAAAAATGTATATAGAAACTGAATTTAAAGATCAAATAGGTAGAAATTTATAAAATATACCTAACGACACATTACACACATTCACAGGCGCAGCGTGCACAGGTTCGTCTTCTTTCGTCTTCCTTCTTCCCCATTCTCTCCTTTCTTCCTTCTTCTTTCTTTTGCTTCCTTTTTCTTCTTCTTCACGCTTGCTGCTCCGCCCCACTACTGCCGTTGAATGTGTTTTTAGGTTCGATTTATTTTTAATTTCTCCGTTTTCAATTATATTGATACAAGTTTTGTTTATGTTTTATAAAGGATCAATTAATCAAGTTTTGGCTAGAAAAACTCAAATCTAATTTAACAAACACAAAATCAGTTTGGAAAACATTCACGAGCTTCAAGAATCGGTTGTGTAGAGGGATAGGGGCCGCGTGTGGTGTGTTTAGTCGCGTTTTGAGCCTCGTTGTGGTGTTTGTGGTTCTTGTGTTTGATTTGGGTTTGTTTTGGTGCCTGAGCCTACACTTCGGAGTGGTTCTGTCGATTTGAGGCTCTATAATTGGTGTTGAACTGTTCTTTTTGGTTTAAATTGAGATTCTTTGATTTCTTGGTTTAATAGAAACTATGAAATCCTATTTTTAATATCAGTTTTAGTGATTCTTTCTAATTTGATTTTCTGTTTCTTTGACCTTTGGATTTGTGGACTCTATAATCAGTTGGAGAATCGACTGAAGTTGAACTGGAGTGACGATTGATGGCAAGTACCGCGTGTTTTATGATAGTTAGCAAGAACGATATTCCGATTTATGAAGCTGAGGTTGGCACTGTACCGAAGGTAAATGATTTCATTTCACTTTTTTTTTTTCGACTTCATTGGCTCATGTTTGATTGTTCAATTCCTTTCGGATTATGTTGAATTTGTGATGAACTGGCGCCTGATTGTGCTAGAAAGAGGATGCTGCTCATCAACACCAGTTTATATTACATGCTGCTTTAGACATTGTTCAGGATGTGGCCTGGACAACTAGTGCTATGTGAGATTTCCACTTTTTTCCCTTTCTGCCATTAAACATGGACTCATATACGGAGAGAAAGTATCTTGTCTTGGCTGGTTATAGGTTTTCTGCCATTGAATCTCTCCTTTTTGTGTGTATGTGAATCAGGTTTCTTAAAGCCGTAGACAGATTCAATGACTTGGTGGTATCAGTATATGTGACTGCGGGTCATATCCTTTCTATTAACTTTAACTACTCAATCAACGGTTTCGTAGTTCACATATTTTTGAAGATTGCATGGAAAGAAACTATATCATGTTTTGAATTTAAATGTTGTGTGATGACTGGATTAATCTGTTCATCTGACATAACTTTGAACATTATATATGGATTACTTAGGGAAAAGATGATGTTACTGTAAATTTTCAGCAGCAAAGTTGATTGCATTGGTCTGCCGTAGATTTCATTTTGTGCAGCCAATTAGTATTCTGTAATATTGCCTGCTTTCCTCCCAGTGCAAAATGCATTCATAATCGTTGAAAGAAAATCACCATCACTGCCACTTCTCACCTGTTTATATTCTTTGATTCATGTAGAACTTGAGTTTTGTCGAAACTGAAATATCTTTTATATCTTTGTTTGATTTCTGCAACAGCTATGTTAGTAATAGATCATTGAGTGATACAAATTGAAACTTGATCTTATTTTTGCACCAGTGCTTCCTGAATTTCTGTGGATTATCAAACCGTGATTCTAAAATCCATAGATTGCATGCAGTAGGCTTCAGTTTTGTGAATTCCCTGTAAAATGCTTGAAGTAGTCAAGATTGTTGAGTAATACTAATACATGACATCTAATGCCAGAAATCTCACTTCCATCTAATGAATTTGGGATGACTGGCTTGCACGATGATTTAACTTTATTTAGACACGTATGCTGGGTTGCAAGCAATTATGAATATGAAATTCATTAGTCTGGAGCATTCCAGGAAGAGTAATCTTTTTAAGTCTTAGAGATTCTCGAAACAGTTTCTTGTCTTTGGGTTTTGTTATTGCTTTCTTAATGTGTTATCTAGTAGAACAAATTGCTGAAAAGTGGAAAGCGTGATTCACATTTAGTTCTAGTCGTATTTGGAATTAGAGTCTAGGATGCCTTTTTGTGCAGGAAAATTGGTCTTCAAATGGTTTATGGGGCTGGTAATGAATTCATAAGATATTTTTTGCTTGAATTCCCTGAAAGTAACGACTTTTTGTTAAATCTAGAATATGTTGCATTTGATCGTTCCTGGAGAGTGAGACAGAGTTGTCCATCATCCAGAATAAGCTGCATTTGTTTGAATGTTTGTAGCTTTCATTTAGTTCTTGCCTTCTCCATTGTTATCTTGGTGACAAATTTTCCCTCTATTTACTAATTGTATCTTACAATTCAGAATCTCCCAATTACTCTAGCTGTGCTCGATGGTATAATTTTCTGATGAGAATTTTCATGCCTGTATAACTGATCCAAAATTTGGCCAAGTGATTGTTGCTATTGTGCGAGTATCATTGTTGTTTGATTCCTTAACTAATCAAAGTTGTACATACTCGATTGATGCTGCTTCATGATTCTCGCAATGATGATGGCATCAAGAGCTTCTTCCAAGAGGTTCATGAGCTATACATCAAGGTAAATGCCGCTACAAGTTTCTTAGCAACTTTTGAATAGTTATAAGTAGAAAAAAAGAGAAGAGAAAAAAGATTCTCTATTTTTAATCTATTTGAGAAGTTTGAATGTCAACTGAGACCTGTGAATCATGATTTTCAGACACTTCTCAATCCACTTTACCTTCCGGGGAGCCGTATCACCTCATCCCATTTTGATACAAAAGTTCGAGCGCTTGCTAGAAAGTATTTATGAAGCTATTTCATTGCGGGTGTTTGAAGATAGCCACTCCGGAAACTGCTTTCAGGTGATTTTCTGTTTTAACACACATTTATACTAAACGATCTTGTTTCAATTCTGTAATTTCTGAGCTTTATCTACATCCCATAAAATCTCATTACCGGTTCAATCACTCGGGTCATCTTTTATTCTTTCCATGCTACATTCATTTGTCGATTCAATTTGAATAGTGCAGTTCTATGCCTGTCTTAAACATCCTCATTTTCCGGTGGAATTCATCCATCTTTAACACATTATATGACTCTCTCTCCTCTCTCTCTTAAAGATATTTTAAAAAAAACTCTCCAAAAATATTCGATCAACTATATCGATAGCTCAATCCTGACTAAACGATAATCATTACCACAATAATCATACGAAGCTCATGAGGACATCATATTACGTATATCACTTAATTAAACTTATAGTCACATAATAGTCATAAGCTCTGTCACATAACAGTCAAATTGCACATATCATGATGTTCAATATATTTATCACATCATAAGACATCCAATCAAAATTCATATATAAACACATGATAGAACACATAATCAATTGTCTATTCATTTCAAACACAATTTGATGGCTGGCCGATTGATCTTCCAATATGCTAGTTTTTACGATATTTATGTCCATATCTTAACTGCTGATAGAAATTACCAAGAAGCTATCCGGGCAGTTCCTTCTAACAATCTGAACGATCTAAAAAATTAATCAATTCCAAATCAAAACAGAAGTATCACAATAGCATGAGCTACATGCTCATTTATGGGAGTTAATTTCTCTAACTAGCCCATTGCTTCCAAACTTTTTCATATAGTAAAACATTATATTTTAGTTATAAAACTCTTATATCTTATAATATTCATATCGATCGATTATCAAATAAAAATCATTAAAGATATGAATAAACAGACATGTGCAACACACTTGCTAAACAGTTTGTTTGTTAGACAACTAAGTAGTCAATCACGAATTTTCGAAGAATTTATAGTTTAATACATCACTACTCGAATTCATATTAAAAATTAGGCGGCGACTATTGTGCTGCACATTGTGTTCTATTAGAGAACACATAATATTACTACAGACAACAGCGTGTATATGTTAATACAATGCAAATACAACACATGAGCAACACACAATATTACTACAAACAATACATAGTATTACTACAAACAATATATTGTATATTTTAATATAATACAAATACAATAAATGAACTAACAGTACATGCTATAGTCTCATATAACACACAATAATTGATTTTTAACACATGATATATTTGCACACAATACACTTGTTATTATTAAAAAACAAGACATATATTTATTATACATTGCATGTGCTGTGTGTAATACTAATATGTATTATTTGTATATATAACGCTTATATTTATACTCTACTCACATCAAAAATCGTATTAAAATCGAATTAAATTCGACCGGCTATTTTTTTCTTTTTTTTCTTTTTTTCTTTTAGTTCTTCTTCCTCCCTCGCTCCGAATTTTGGGTTTGTTTGAAAATGAGATCGGGTGTGTTCGTTTGACTGAAATATATATATATATATTATATGATTATAATTATAATCATTATCTATAATATAATTATATTATGATATATAATAGATAATGAAATCGGGTGTGTTTATTTGACTCTAACACACACATATATATATATATATATTATATGATTATTATTTTAATCATTATCTTCAATATAATTATATAATGATATATAATATATATTAGAAATTGGAAATTTATTATATAATAATTCGTATTTATCCTAACTTATAATATAATAATAATATTACTGAAAATAATAATACTAATTTAATACTTAAATACTCATTTTCATTCCTATCTATATATTCAAAAAATATCATCAATTATAAATATATATAAAATTTGAATATAAATTGTTCTATTATCAAAATATTTATTTAATATAATAATATTATTTATATTTCAAAATAAGTGCATTATACTTATTCCTCCTTAAAAAGATGGTGTCTCCGAAATCAACCAAAACTACAACTTCTGAAATAGCCTTAAGTACAACATTATTGTAATCCAGATTCTTAACCAACAACTCACAATCAATCATGCCCCAAACTTTTGGGGTTCTCCAATTAACCTCATAACCTCCTCAACGCATCAAATCGTTAATCTAACTCAAAATTACAAATATCAAGTAATCAATGAATCCAAATCTCACAATGAAACTCAAATAGCTATCATGTTGGTATCAAATCACAAAGTTCCGAAAATCTCAGATTTACCGCTTACACATTGACGACTCATCTTCCCATCTGGCTTCCTCGACCCCATGTCGATGCCACAATACATTCACTATATGCACATTCTTGTTTTACAAGGCTTTCACCATCGTGTCCAAGATCTGAACAGGTTTCTCATTATAGCTTAAGTCATCCTCTAAACTCATCTCATCAGGTTGGAGTATTTTGTCTCATCAGCTACACATCCCCTCAACTGAGATACATGAAACATATCATACACCTTGCCCAACACACTAGAAAACTACGCCAATTTTTCAATGTGCTCCAAAATTTGTGTAAGAACCAATATAACGATGGCTCATCTTCCCACAAATGCCAAATATTTTGATACCTTGTTCGAGGGATACACATAATAAACACGGTTCCCAACCTCTAATTCTCCGGCCCTGATTTGCAAAACTTTTTTGTTGACTCTAAGCCGAGCGAATCCTCTCTTGGATTACACGGATATGCTTAGTGGTCTCCTTTACTAATTTAGGTCCCAACAACACCCTATCACTCGGATCTTCCCAACACAGTGGAGTCCTACAACGCCTCCCATACAACACCTCAAACCGTGCAACCTTAGTGCTCAAATGATAGCTATCGATACGCAAACTCGATTAAGCTAAAAAAATTAGCCCACGAAAGATAAAATTGCAGAGCCCTCAACGTGTCCTCAAGGGTTTAAATGGTCCTCTTCGTCTGACCATCAGTCCTTAGATAGAATGCAGCACTGAAATTCAATTTCCTCGCAAATTCACATTGTATCTCTTTCCAAACGTGGGACATAAACTTAGAATCTTGGGCTTGAAATGATACTAGTTGGGATACCAAAGCGTTTCACCACGTCTCGCACATACGCTTCAACCAACTTAATCATTGACCAATCATTTCGTACAGGTATGAACATTAAAACCTTTGACAATCTATCCACAACCACCCAAAATAAAATCAAACTTGTTCTTGCTCATCGGCAAGCCAGTCACGAATTCATCGCTAATGAGTCTCATTTCCATCTCGAGACCTTAAATGGTTGTAATAGACCCATCGGCCTACGATTCCCGAACTCCACCCTTAAACACACAAGGCATTTCGAAACGTAATCAGCCAAGCCCTTTTTTATACCAACCCATCAAAAATTACTTTTTAAGTCTTTGTACATCTTATCACCCTCGAATGAACCTAGTAAGGTGGTAAATGGGCTTAATCCATCGATCTCTCTTTCAAATCTCTAGCTGAGTATGGTATACACCATCTCCATCAAAGAAAAAGACTACCATCGCTAGCCAACTCAAATCCAATTTTCACCTTGAAGTTCTCTTTGCGTACTCGTTTTATGATCCTAAGGCATTTGGGATCCATTTTTTGCCTCTCTCGGATCTCATCATACAAGAAAGGTGCAAGAAAAAGTGCATCTAACATTACTTGTGTCGATCCAAGAGTGACTAACTCCAATCTCAATCGCCCTTATCTCCTCACACAACTTGTCCAAATATACAAAAGCACTAACATGATGACTCTTACAAGTTAGAGCATCGCCACTACATTCGCCTTGCCCTTGTTGTACAAGATCTCAACATCATAATCCTTAACTAATTTTAATCAACATCTATGTCTCAGGTTCAAGTCCTTCTGCATGAACATATATTTTAAGCTCTGAGGGTCTGTAAAGATATGACATCTATTTCGCAACAAATAATGCCCCCAAATCTTCAAGGCATGCACAACATATTCCATTTCCAATTCATAAGTCGGATATCGTTCATCATGTGAGTTCATTGTTTTTGAAGCATAAGCAATAACCCAACCATTTTGCATCATAACACAACCTAAACTATTGAGTGAGGTATCAGTGTAAATATCTTTATCTTGTCCATCCTCGGGCAATGCCAACACTGGTACAAAGTCAATCTCGTCTTCAAATTTTGAGAGTGATGCTGCACATTATCATTCAACTTTAACTTGATTGTTTTCTTTGTCAAATTTTTTAACGATCGAGCTATCTTTGCGAAGTCCTTAATGAATCATTGATAATAACCTACTAAACCCCAAAAGCTCTTTATTCCCCTACATTGCTAGGTACCTTCCAACTCGATAGTGCCTCGACCTTCAAGTCATCCACAGTGATCATTTAAGTAAATATGACGTGTCCAAGGAAGTGCACACATGACAACCAAAACTCGCATTTTGATAAATTTGCAAATAGTTTTTTTTTCTCGAAGCTTCTTCAATACTATTCCCAAGTGTCAGACATGTGCATCGGGATCCTTCAAATATATCAAGATGTCATCAATAAACATGACCACACTTATCCAGCCACTACCCAAAGATTCTTTGCATCAGATTCATAAACATAGTTGGGGCATTCATGAAACGCCATCACGGTGAACTCAAAGTGTTCATACCGCATCCAAAAAGCCGTCTTTAGGATATAACTTTTCTACACACGAATCTGATGATATCCCGATCTCAAATCCATTTTCGAGAAAACTTGTGCCTCTCTCAATTAATCGAACAAGTCCTCCATCCTCAAAAATGGATATTTGTTCTTTATTGTCATTTGGTTGATTGCTTGGTAGTCAATAGAAAGCCTTAGAGACCCATCTTTCTTCCCTACGAATAGTACAGAGACTCCCCAAGGTTAGCTATTCAGTCGTATGTATCCTTTTTCCAATAGTTTATCCAACTATTTCCTCAACTCTTTTATTTCTGTTAGAGCCATACAAGAAGGTACCTTCGATACCAGTTGTACTCCCTATACCAAGTCTATCTCAAATCAATCTCTCGTATCAGAGGAAATACCATAATCTCTTGGGAAAACATCAACAGAATCTTTAACTACATAAATGATTTTCAAACTCGGTTCCTTAGCTCGTATGTCGCAAACCGAACACAAAAAACTAGATACCCTTTTTAAATCATTGAAAAGAGTTATTTAGAGCTAATCACCCTAGACTTTGATCTCCTCAGCTACTTGTAGTACGACGTCCTCAATCCATCCATCGTTCCAAGAGTTACCTTGTCTATAATGAAAATCCCATTGGGCTCGATACTCTCCAACCAATCGATGCCCAAAATCAAGTCAAGCTCACTCAACTCTAGCACCAACAAATCAATAGTAAACATTAATTCATCAACCACCACAGACATATAACGGATCATAGTATAACAAATAAAGTCCTGGTCTGAAGGTAAATCTATGCTCATAAGAGTAAACTTCAAATCAAATAAACCACATAACTGAGCAAAATGTGCAACAATAAAGGAACAAGAAGCACTTGAATCAAACACTATAAATGCAGAGTGATAGGATATAAAAAGGAAAGAAAACTTTAACCATAACCAACCTCTTAAAGATCAATCACAACAAGAGAATAGCTTAGTGCATCTAATCAAGCTCACACACAACACATAGAAGCAAAAAAGGTCAACATTTGTAAGGTATTAGGTTCGGCCGGGACTTTACCCAGTGCTTCGGGTAACGACTACGGGTTCCCACGTCATAAAAAAAAAAAAAAAAAAAAAAAAGTCAACATGCTCAAATACCATATCCAATTAATCAAGTAATTCTGCAAATACACAACAGATAGACAACCAAGTCACATGACGCGACATAGAAATGTATGCAATGCAAGCCCCCAAAATTGGTTTCATGATGCACGGTTTCCAAAACTTTTTAAAAACATGTGTAGTGTTATATTTCGATAAACCATGCTCTGATACCACTAGATATAACATCCTGACTAAACAATAATCATTACCACAATAATCATACAAAACACATAAGTACATCATATTATGTATATCACTTGATCAAACATCCATATAGTCACGTAATTGTCATAAGCTCGTCACGTTATAGTCAAGTTGCACAGATCATCATGTTCAACATATTTATCACATCATAAAAGTCATGCAATTACGATTTATATCTAAACACATGATCGAACACATAATCAATTGTCTATTCATTTCAGGCACAGTCTTATGGCTATTCAGCTTATGATATTTACGTCCATTCATTAACTGCTGATAGAAATTATCAACCAGTTATCTGGACAATCCCCTCTAACAATCAGAACAGTCTAAAAGAACAATCAATCTCAAATCAAAACAGAAATATCACAATAGCATGAGTTGCATGCTCATTCATGAAAGCTAATTTCTCTAACAGAGTCCATTAGCTTCCAAACTTTTTCATATAGTAAAATATTATATTTTAGTTATAAAATTCTTATATCTCATAATATTCTATTAACCGATTATTAGATAAAATAATTAAAAACAAACATGAATGTGCAACAGAATGCCATTTTAAATTCAACTCGAATAGATATGAAATTATCAAAATATAGCATTAGGACTATAAATAGACTATTAGCTAAAGAAGTTTGTTGATTAAATAGCTATATAGTCAATTATGAATTTTTTAAAAATTCTAATTTAATACATCAATACCAAATTTCATATTAAAATTTATAATTATACTCGAGAAAAAAAACAACATATCAAAATCAAATTAAAATCGAACTGCTAAACTATATTTTATTTTTCTTCTTTTTTTTTTCTTTTATCACCCCTGCTTTCTTCGCCTGTCTCAATTTTGGGTGGGTTTGCAAATGGAATCGGGTGTGTTTGTTTGACTCTAACACACCTATATATATATTATGATTATAATTATAATCATTATCTATCATAAAATTATACTATGATATATAATTATAAATTTATTATATAGTAATTCATATTTATCCAACTCATATATGATAATAATAATACTAAAAATAATAATATTAATAAAATATTTAAATACTTATTTTTATTGATATCTATCCATTCTATAATTTATTAATTTCATTAATATTATCAAAATATTTGTTTGATATAGAGAACGAGGGTGTAATATAATAGCGAAGCCTTCAACCCTCGATCTTTAGGTCGGAGGTTACATTTTGCGTTATTTATTTAACATTAAAAATATTTTTATATTTGCATAATTTTTTTTGTACAAGTGTCATTGTATATTAATAGAGGTATTTTTTTTTTCTTTAATTTGCACTACGTTTTAATATAATTATTAATATTCAAATATCAATATATAAAAAATAAATGTAATCCTTAAAATTAACAAATAAAATATTATTTTATACACTTCAAAATCAGACCATTACATGTAAATATTCTATACAACACATATTAACGTTATTCTCAACATATAAGTATTACATATCTACAAAACATAGAGAGATAACAACGATTTATATTAATATAATATAATATATAAATTAACAATATATGACAATATTTAATACAATATATATCACATTGATCTCAACACATATAATATAATACTTCACGTTACAATATAGTACATCCTTTGTCTTATATAAAATTTTTTTTTTTTTTCATTTTTGTCCGTCTCACATAATTTGTCAATTTTTTTTGAAAATATGATTATATACTTTAATTATATTTTAAAATTCATAATTCATAATTTTTTTAATTTTTATTAAACTATTTAGTTATTTTATTTTTAATCTATAATTATTTTTACTAATAAACTTCTTAATTACTTATTATATATACTTTAGCTAAATTCTCGTATCTATAATATTATGGACAATTTAGCTGAGATCGATGAATTATATAACTGATATAGTGTAATCCCCTTTCTAATTTTGGGCTGTGTACTCTAGAGAATTGTCAAAATTCCAATTGATTCCTAATTATAACTATTGGTTAAATGTTACTCTCATTGTCCTTGGTAAAATAATATGGTTAGAGACACTCGTATTTTAAGTAGTGTAACTTAATAGATTAATTATAATATAATTTTATTTTTATTTTTTTTATATAAATGACATTGTTAGTTTTTAAAACCACTTTTAAACATATTCCATAAGTTGTGTATCAAAAAGTTGGATTTGTTGTCCCGTAAAAAAATGATATAGTGGTGTGTGAAGTGAGTCGTGACCGTGACGATATGGGTTCAAACTTTCGACGTCTTCGAATTTTGCACGCTACATATAATTCTTTCGGTGTAACTTTCCCCGTACAATGAAATTAAAATATAAAAAATAAAAAATAAAAAAATAAAAACTCTATTAACTCTTCTAATAGAGTGAAATAAGAATGAGGACTGGGATTTAGATGGAGAAAAAAATTGATATATTATATTATAATTAATTAAGGTGTTTTTTTTTTTTTTTTTTTTGAGTATTTAAATATAAAATAAATTAAATAATTTATATATATATATATGCATAAAATTTAAGTGGGTACTATGACCCGATTTTGTCTACGGTGGATCCGTCACTCACTATAGCAATTGCGTTGCTCCTTTTCTTCTTATTTATTTATTTTTCTATTAATTTTTTTATTTCTCTTTCTCTCACACAAATTCCACCGTCACTCGCTATAGCAATTGCGTTCCTCCTTTTCTTCTTCTTCTTTTTTATTTTTATTTATTTTTTTAAATTTCTTTCTATCTCACAAATCTTTATTAGTATCTATAATCATTAATGTAAATGTTTAATATATATATATATATATACATATTTTTCTTGATAACGTGAGAACCTAGTTTTACTCTACGAATGCATAAACATAGATTGAATTTAATAGCTTATAAATTAAGTTCGAAAAAAAACAAACAGTATATAATATACCAGACAAAATGTATATAACATACCAAATATGTAGGTATCGAATATTTAAACTTATGATCTCATAATGTATATACATTAATGTATATGTATGTGTGTATAATTTTTTACATATTAAAATAAGATAATATATATGTAATGATTTCATATATCAAATTGATATATATATATATTATTAAAATATAAGTAGATTGAAATATTCTTGAAATTTTATTTTATAAGTGAAAGTATATTCATTTTATATTTCTCTAAATTTTCAAAATCAATTTATTTTTTTTGAAAAAGAAAATAAGTAATTATCTTTTACAATTTTTCCTTTCCATCTATAAATATTCAAGCACAAAGATCATAAACTAAAGAGCCTTCCTAGTAATCACTTGCTATCAAGATGGAAAGCTTTACATCCACCATCCTTTCCCTACTTCTCTCCACCGTTTTCTTCCCTCTCTCTTTCCTTCTCTTCAAACTCATCCGCCGCCGCGCCGCCGCCGCCGCCCTCCCGCCGGGAAAGACGGGGTGGCCCATTATAGGGGAGAGCCTCGAGTTCCTCTCGGCCGGATGGAAAGGCCACCCGGAGAAGTTCATCTTCGATCGGATCACTAAGTACTCTTCCCTCGTCTTCAAGACTCACCTTTTTCGCGAAAAAACAATTGTATTTTGCGGCCCGGCCGGGAACAAATTATTGTTTACGAGCGAGAAGAAGCTCGTCCAAGTGTGGTTTCCGTCTTCTTTCAACAAGATCTTCCCGTCATCATCGAACCAAACTACACCGAATGAATTGGCACTCAATGTGAGAACAATGCTCCCCAATTTCCTCAAGCTCGACGCCCTCCAACGGTACGTCAGCGTAATGGATAATGTCACCCGGCGACACTTTGAGGATCGATGGGAGAAAAATGAAAAAGTCGTGGTTTTACCTCTTGTAAAAAACTACACTCTCGAGCTCGCTTGTAGGCTCTTTATCAGCATCGAGGATCCATGTGAAGTCGAGAGGCTTTCGAAGCCATTGAATGTTTTGCTCTCGGGCCTTTTCTCGATCCCCATCGACCTTCCCGGAACAACATTTAACAAGGCGATTAAGGCCTCGGATTTCATCCGGAAGGAGTTTGTTTCCATAATTAAGCGCCGAAAAATTGATCTTGTACAGGGGAAGGCGACGCCTACACAGGACATTCTGTCACACATGCTTACGACCAAGAACGAGAACGGCAGCGAATCGTCCGTCGCGGACAGGATTTTGGGAATGCTAATCGGTGGCCGGGACAATGTCGCCTCGGCATGTACTTTCATCGTCAAGTATTTGGCAGAGCTGCCCCAAGTGTACGAGGGAGTGTACAAAGGCAAGTTTGTGTGTGGATAAGATTATTATTGTAAGAATTGAGGAATTTGATGAGAGTTTATATATATTGATGCAGAACAAATTGAAATTTGTAATTCGAAAGCTCCCGGGGAGCCTCTGAACAAGGAAGACATTCAGAAGATGAAATATTCGTGGAACGTAGCCTGTGAAGTGTTGAGACTCGTACCACCCACCCAAGGAACTTTCAGAGAAGCCATAGCTGATTTCACATACAATGGATTCTCCATACCCAAGAAATGGAAGGTCAGATAATTAAATATATATATATATATATATCAAGAAAAATTGCTCTACGCATGACCTTTTTTTTTTTTCTTTAAAAAAAATAAAAATAAATGAAATATTACTATTATTGATATTAGTAATTTTCAGTTTTTTTTTCCGTTAAAAAAATTAATACAAATTTAATAAAATTTCATTAGAAAAGAAAAATAAAAAATAAATACACCATAATTTCTTTTAAAAATATCATAAATATATTTTATTTTACCAAATCAATGATAATATCTATGTGAACAATTGTCCTGCAATGTCTTCGTGTGTATGTTGTCTGTTGTTTTATAATACTCCCTTGATATACCTAAGTTTTTTATTCCATATTTGCATAAAAATTAATGTAGGTTAATATTTTATAGACATTAAGTGTAATAAAATAGTACTCATCCGTCGATTTTCTAATGTCCTATTTAATATTTACACCATTTTTAGGCGATTAGAGTTTTTGTTATAAAATGACAAATTTGCCCTTAATCTTGTGTATAGAAAATGAAAGAGTAAATAAAGTAAGGGTAAATGAGTAAATTTTGTGTATAAAAAAAAAAAAAAAAAAGGACAATAATTGTTGGACATTGCAAATAAGAAAGTAGGAAGTTGGTTTGTGGATGGAGGGAGTATAATATTTATTTCACCCTTAATTTAAAGTAAAAGCAAAATGTGCAAATTTAAATAGTAAGAGTATTTCGATATTTAGTTTAAAGTTACATTTAGAAAAACAATAAAATAAAGTAAAATAAATGAAAAGTTTTAATTTGTACATATTAAAATGGAGAGAATATAATGCTAACACTGTGTTGAATTAAAAAATGTCTATGACTATATATATTATATATTATTGTCTATTTTCTAAAGTAAGCTTAGACAATTTAAAGTCGAGACCTTCTGTAGTTCTTGTCAATGTAAAAATCAACATTGATTTCTGATACAGTTATATTGGAGCATTAATTCAACACATAAAAATTCAGAATTTTTTCCGGAGCCACAGAAATTCGATCCTTCAAGGTTTGAAGGATCAGGGCCAGCTCCGTACACGTTCGTGCCATTTGGTGGCGGTTCAAGAATGTGCCCCGGGAATGAGTATGCCCGTTTGGTCATACTAGTGTTCATGCACCACCTCGTGATGAGGTTCCGGTGGGAGAAAATCATTCCCGATGAGAAAACCATTGTGGATGGTGTGTCTGTTCCCGCCAAGGGTCTTCCCGTACGGCTCTTTGCCAACAAAGTTTGAGATGTTCTTCTTGTTTTAATTTGATCTTTTAATTCATATGTCATGCATGGTGCATTGTACTATAAATAAATTTATGAATGTATATATAGTTTACTAAACAAAATTTGCTATGGAAGGTTTTTAAATAATGTATTTTTTTTTTAGTTTTATTTTTTATATATATATATATATCCACGTTAATAAATATATTAAATATTATTAAAATTATAAAAGATCAAAATAAAAATATATTTTTTTATTTGATCAAAATAAAAATATATTTCAAACAAATTAATATAATATTTTATTTCTAAAAAATATGTTTATTCATCAAATAGTTTTTGAATGATACAATTCCCTATAAATATTATAAAAAAATACAATATATGCATATTAACATAATATATTCTTATAATATACTATATATTTTATCCACTCATAAAAAATCAACAATTCAACACAAAATATTATTTTTTATATTATGACACGATTATGCATATTTAACATAAACTATACATTTATTCAAAAATATAAAATCAACAAAACCTAATATTTATTTTTTTTATCTGAAATATTATATCACTATTGATTGATTATATTAAATAATTATTTTAAATCAAAAATTTTTTATTTCTAATATATTAAAAAAAATAGTGTGTTCAGTCAAATCATGTCAATAATAGAAAAGAGTTTGTAAGGAAATATTATCTACCAAGTTCACCAAGGTAGATGCACACACCATGAAGAAAAATTTATAGGAAAAAGTTATCTAACAATATATCATTATTCTTGTTGTCATGTCAATAATAAAATATGAAATTGAGATGTGTAAACAAAAAAATTCATAAAGAGGTAATTGAATTTACAATCTCTAAAACAAAAAAAAAAAGTTTGCTATCGAACATAAATGTAAAATTTGTGTTGAAGCTAAATCAATAAAATAATTATTTTTAAGTATTGAAAGAAAGACTGCATGTGTAAAATTTATTCGAACTAGAGGTAAAAAGTAGTTTATTGCTTTTGTAGATGATTGTAATTGTTATCTTTATATATTGAAGATAAGATACGGCTCTTAGAGTTATTAAAGAACTGTAAGAATGAAGCCGAGAATTAACTTTGCATTTGAATGAACACAATTCGAAGCGATTGAGGTGGCGAAGACATAGTTTCTTTTTTTGAAGATTTTCATGCCACAAATGACATAATTTATCAAACAACATCTTCATATTTATTGTAGTCGAATGATATTACTTAATGAAAAAAATGAACGTTAAAAAACATGATGAATGAAGAAAATGTGTTGACAAAAAATTATATTTTGAATAAATTTCCTTAAAAAGTAAGGATGCGATTTCTTAGTCGTAGAAATGTCATAAACATTCCAACAATACCTCTAAGCATGTTAGGGGAAGATGTATTAATGACAAGTTATAATTAGAATGAAATTCATCTAAGTAAGGATGTGACTGCTTAAAAGTTATGTCATAAGCTTTCCTACATTACCCTAGAATGATCATAAATAAGATCGTAACTCCTTACGGGTTGTGGAAATGTCATAATCAATTTTATAAATACCTCAAAGTACGAGGCTCTTTGACTAAGATTGAAGTACGTTTACCTAAGATTGTCGCTATTGACCCTAAACTAATTGATTGTATTTTATAGGCTATGCACTTGATAGTAACACGTATCGGTTTTTGTTCACAAGTCAAAGATCTCCGACATAAGTGAAGGAATGACAATGGAGTCAAATAATGCTACTTTTCTTGAAAATCATATTAATATCTTTGAGGAACAAAAAAATTACCGATGAGATAACAATAGAATAAAAACATAAAAAATGAAGCAAAACTAATTCCACATGAGTAATCCAAACAAAGTTGGAACAATTGAAAATAAACAAATTTCTCAAAACATAAACCATCACATTCAAAAAAGAAAAAGGGTTGTATGATGAAAGGTTTAAGAGGCAGCTTAAGATTTTATCTAAGCCTAAACCTATTGAATATATTATAATTGTGGTGGAATTGGACATGTGAAATCATAATATTTTACACTAAAAAACCACAAAATATAGGCATTTCAACTAACACATGTGACGACGATGAAGAAGTTTTAATTACTGAAGATCAAATAAAATGTGAGGACTTTCACAATATATAAAGATAGTGAATCAAGTAAATTCGAATTGAATACCGATACTAGTGATGATGTTGATTTCTATTGAAAGCGAGAAGCTGATGTTGATAAATTACTTGAAGTATATAATGATTTAGTTCCTGAGTAATATAAATCAGTTGTAAAAAATTAAAAATTTATTTCTTTGATTGGAAGATTGAAGATAAAAAAAGAAAAAAGAAAACATAAAATTTTGGTTAATAAAAATGCAAAGCTCGTGGCTGTATGCAAGACTTAATTTTATAAGGTTGATAACATGAAATATCAAAATATGAAGTTGTTTGATGCAATTTATTATCTAAAAAGATAAGAAGAAATGTTTATAAAATGCTATGATTGAAAAAAGCTTCAAACAATCAATATAGGATTGGTTATCACGAAGAATCATCCATCAAATATTCTGTATTTGTCGAACATGGGATGCTTAATAATCAATATTAATTACAAAAATATTTAGAAGCCCAAAAAAATAGAATGTGTGTCACGGTATTGCAACAATGGAAGATGAAATTATATTTGAAGATGCTTTCAAATGAGTTTAGCAAAACATAAGATTTTCGAATGAAATGGATAATTAAGAAAAATAAAGTTTACATAGTGTGTAATGTTGTTCTATCTATATATATATATATATATGCTTAACAATTTTTAGTTTTTCAATAGTGGCTACTCTCACCATATGACTAATAAAAAATATGTGTTGAATGATTTTCATAAAGAAGACCATGGTGAAGTTATGTTTGAAGATGAAGTTAAAAAAAAAAAAATACTTGACATAGAATTTTAGTAGTTGGACTATCGAAATTATTTGAAGTATATTTAGTTGAATTATTGAGCACTAAATAGATTAGTATTAGCCAATTGTGTGATGATTACTTGTATGCCAAATTTACAAAATATGTATGCATATTCAATGGTGATAAATGTGTTATGAATGGTATTCATTTTAGAAAATAAAAGCTACTATTGCAACTTTCAATCTATCACATTTTTATTAATATCCACTAAGTGGAACGCAAAATAAAAGTTCTTTCTACTATTCGCATGCCCTTTTATTGACGTGGTAATCATGCGAAAGAAAGTGACATCGTGTTTATTGGTCAGTGGAACAACATAGAACAAACAATTGTTTAGAGTTATCGCAGATGGATCTTATTGATCCAATATACACCAGCAAGCATAGTTAGGGAAAAATGTATATTTTTATTTGCATTCCTTGATACTAAATTTATTAAGACTATGAGTATTTTTTTCTTTATTTTACAATGACTGTAAATTAATTAACAAGAAGTAATCATCGATGCAATGCAATACAATTCAAGAACATTGAACAGTTTTTTCATCGTACAAATCTCTCTTACTACTAAACTAATGATATATATATGAGAATTTTTGGTTGATATGTATTATCATTTATATATCTAGTTAGTAGTAATGGAAATAAATATATATATTGATTGATGTTGATAGCACCGCCGTAATCATCATCAATAATTAATATATATTTGATCTTAAATCCACCGTTTCTCGAGAAATTCCTACATGGCTTTCTTGATGTCCTCCTTGATCGATCATGTTGTATATATATTAATTAATTATTTCAATTTTTCTTGATTTAAGGGATTTTTTCTATAAATATATTTATTTATTTAGTCAAAATACTATTGCAATTTTCAATCTATCTGCTTAAATCCAATCCAAAATAAAATCCCTTTTTTCTGCTCACATGCTTTTTTAGTAATGTGTTAGTTGTGCGTAAGAAAGATAAAGATGTTGTTTTCATTGGTCAATGGAATAACATAGAACGAATAATTGTCTAGAGTTATTGCACATGGAGCTTATAGGTCCAATTACACCTGCAAGTATAACTAGGGAAAATGTGTACATTTATTTGCATTTATGATATTTCTAGTTATCACGGACCTTTTGTTTTTCAAAATAATGGTGATATTTTAATGCATTTGAATATATAACTTTGTAAAAGATTGATGACAAAGAAAAATTCGAAGGTAGTTTGTATTAGGAGTGATCATATGAAGAAATTTCAATACCAATAGTTTGAGGTATCTTGGAATGATCTTTCAATAAATAATTATTTTTTCGCTCTAAAATTTTTCAAAAAAATGGTAATGGAAAGAACAGTCACAGAACGTAGCAAGATCAATGATGCTTACAAAGAATGTGAGCAACTTTCTCTGTGTAGAAGTTGCTAACACAACTTGTTATAATATCAATTGTGTCTATCTTAGACCGAGTACGGAGTTCATACCATATTAACTATAGAGATGGAGGAAAGCAAAGATTTGTTCAATTGTGTTTTCCATATTTTTTTCACTATACATTTAAAATTATTTCTTTTTATTGCCTAAAAAAATATAACATATATTTTTTTAATTTAATATAATACATATAAAATTGATTTTTCTATCAAAATAATACACGGATTATATATTTATATTACATCAAATAAATTTATAATTTGATTTTTTTATTATTGCCAAAATATACTAAAATACCAAAACATCCTAACACACAACCATACATACTCGATGATCCTACTGGCTACACAAGATTGAGTCAATATCTGATGAATCGAATACACACCAAGCATATGAAAAAAAAAAAAAAAAAAAAGTGATGGAGTCAATCAACATTTAATATTATGTCAATCTGGTGTTCATGATTAGAATAAGTAGAATGATTATTTATTATTCATAAAAGATAAAAATGATAAAGATACAGAAGAAATTGAAAATCATTCAAATGCTGAATTAATTTTGGTGGTTTTTCTTAGTACAACGTAACAACCAACTGATTATCAACTCGATAAGAGTTCTGATTAATCAAATAGACAAAAATCTATGATTCCAAAGTATCATCCAATTGATATTATAAAAGGCGATCCACATGGTGGTTGTGTCATAAAATAAAAGGCTTTTAATTTCAAAGATTTAGTTGGATTTAGTTATTT